GGAGAAGGAACCAAAAAGGTATTGCTCATTGCGCATGTTATCAAACTTTTCGCCTCGCATTATATGCCCTTATGTTTGCAATTCATATAGCAGAACATTCCTGAAATGTCCCTTCATGAGCAGGAGCAAGCCTGTTCCCCATCTCTGTCTCCGAGAATAGGAAGTCGTTCGCTAGCCCCGTAGAGCCCAAAGAGGTTTACCACAATTGCTACAGCCTTACGCTGCTACCAAATCTCTTCAATCCATACACTAGTGGTCGACAGTTTGCAAACCACCTCTGAATAGACAAGCCTTCTGTCGACCAACATGCACGTTGCAATGGTCCACGACCCGTTGAGAAACTTCTTGAGTTTAAAACTTGACCATGTTCCCGTGGAAGATTCCTTTACTATTATGAACATGGTGAATAGTTAAGAGATGAGCTCTTTTTTTAGCCTCCTTCTATTAAAAAAAAACCGTTTAGTATTTCGTATAGGTGGCTACAGCATATTCGAACGGTCACTGAGGCTGCTTTTTCAGTATCAAATAATGTGACGGTACATAGCGGAAAGAGTTTATTCGACGATGGTATGTGCATATTACCTCCGTTAGACAAAACAATGCGAATAGTGAACATTGATAACTATGTGCCACAAGATCACCACAAATTTGCTCATGGAACAGTACTACAGGTAAGATCAGTTACAGTATTTAGTTGCAAAAGCCCCGACAAATTGAAAATGTAACAGTGAACATGTTTGCTCTTCTTGTAACCTTTCCTGAGTATTCATGCTGCTGTGCTGTACTGGGTCGAGAGTGCTTCAATCAATCGACCTTTCAAACAATTCACCGATCTTGTAGTCCTCCATCGCTCCACTGACATCCATCATCTGAACTTCGTAGCAAATCCCTAGAGCGGGTGGAAACTAGCACTGCTGAAATTATGAAATGTTTCTGAACTCCGATTTGTTCAAAAGGTTGATTGAATAAACATCATAATGATCGGGTTGAAGGCGGTGAACACGATGCCTGGTGGGTGGAGTGATTTTGATGAGGTTGTTGGACATCACTGGTGGATCAGACCTCTCAGTACGCCGAAGGCGTGGTCGGGAGCACCTCTCGAAGCCTTTCACCAATCACGCTCAATGATGTCACCAAAAGCCCTCTGCCTTTTAGTCATCGCGTTAACTGCCTTCGAACACCGTTATCACCAGTGGTCAAGAGGCTCCTTAATGGATTTAACCGTGTCTTTTTTCTATCCTTCATGACACCTCCGACCGTGGATAGCCATACTAGTTATTTCAAGGTGGGTTGCGCCATCAGCGGCAGAGCCGATGACTATATGGAGTTCAAATGTCGCCGCGGAAAGTGGAGCAAAAGGAATCGCATCAATTGTGATATTCGTGAGATTTACTACTTTCTCTTGTCTATTCCATCTTGGTGAAAAACAAGTGCACTTATAAAAGTCGTTTACTGTTCAAAGTGCGTACCATAAGCACGAAAACTATCATGCAAGTCTTGTCGGAAGGAACAACTAGTTGTTTATTTTTTCAACTTTCGTGGCACAGCAGACTTCAAATATGTTCCCTTTTGTATCGGAAGTCAGGTGCGTGCCCTCTGCAGACTACACAACATAAGTACCGATTGACCTCTGAAAAAAATGTATTCAATTCAGTCCAGTTAGTCTTGTGAGCATCCGGCATTTGTGTTGTGGAGCCTGATAGTGCGGGAACCTCCTATCGCTGGGATGGCAAAGGCGTGCTGAAAGCGTGTTAGGCCCAACATTTCGACATGGTGGGAAAGAAGCGTGGTACTTCCTTTCTTATCAAATCCTTGTGGTTTGAAGGCGTTTTCGAGCTCTTTAGCCGCTAATTTGCGCAAAGAGGTTTTAGACGTTTCTGAGAAAGTCTTAATTGTTTCCCTTCGTTCGCAATCGAGGAAACTGAAAAATCCAGCCAAAAAGTGCTCAAAGTAATGGGTGCCGTGATTGCAGGCGATCGACAATGGAATAGTTTATTTCTGAGGCGGCCATTGGGAGGCGCACCCCTACCGGGGATAACTGTGTAATATGAATTTACCAGCGAGGTACGGGTGAGGTGTGCCTAATGGAATTTTGGAAAGGCTCTTGATGGTGGAGAGGATGCGGTAGCCCTTGAAGCGGAGAGGTCGTTTTCCGCGACAGGGAAAAATTTGTGCCGAAGGCGAATGAAATGGACAAAAATTGCATATTTGCTGGAGCTACATGTATTCGTATAACTTCGTATAATACCAATAAATACCCTGGAGAACCATGGAAAACAACTTTCCACCCAGCACATAACGGTTGTCCCTGTGTACGACCACTCTTCAGCGCGAGCTTAATTTGGGTGAATTTCGCGGCAGTACATGAGTGTTTGCCTTGAGTAAAAGGGTTCAAAGGGTTGACTTAGCCATGATATTTTGATCAGCAACGCGTCTCTGTATAGCTAAAAGAATGATCTTATATAAATGAACCCACTGATGATGACATGAATGTTTAGGAAATTTTTTATTCTAGATGGGCGACCTTGCGAATTTAAGGTGCAGCTAAATTCACGTACTCTCGTGTATCACGTTGAGAAGAAGGAACCCGTCCTTTTTAATCAATATTTTGCAGGTAAAGACTATTTTGACATTTTGCAGGTGAAGACCGAGACATAGTTCCTTAAAAGTTCGCCTTCAGAAGGATCTCATCTGCTCGTTCGCTGTGTGAACGTTGGAACCGATCGACTCAAAGGCAACTCGGAACTGACCTGTCACGATGGTGTCTGGTCACACCCGACACCTTACTGTATTCCACTCGATCCTCTCAACAGGAACAGTGCGGCTTTCCTTTTTCCAGAGCTAGTCGATTGATTGCTTTTGACCCCAAACATTCAATGATTTCAGAGGACTCGCCACCGGTATTGGTCGATGTCGTAAACGGCGCTTACGCGTACTCGCCCATTGGCGAGCTGATCGTATCCCGTAGTGCTACCGTAACATTTTCGTGTCTTTCACCGAAAAGAACTGCAAAATCGAAATGGGTAAGAGTTTACTTCGTAACCTCAGGTCAAGCTGAATGTGTTGATGACCCTGTACCTCTTCTTATTTTGAGATTTTAACGTGAAAACAGGAAAATGTAAACATTGCAAAATTCTATTTATTTTGTGGTTACTGGGTTCAGGAATTGTCTTGTTCTCGGTTCAGAAGCGCGATAATTGTGCTGTTCTGTAGAAAGACCTCGACCTTGAAACTAGAGCTCAGTAATTATGTATGTAGGTGATTGTCTGAAGTTGGCCGGTTCAGGAGTTCTCCTCTACCTACCGAAGCTATCCACAGTTGTGGACAAGGATGGAAGCTCTTGGTGCAGAGAAAGTCGACGCCAATCCAGGTGAGTTGCCGATATTTTTCTGTGCTGGACAGAATCAATAGCGACAAATT